TAACTATATTTTTAATATAATATAGTATCTCATGTGGAAAATGTACATATTAAGTGGGAAAAAAGCAGACTGCAAAATAGATTCTGCTTCCCCAAACTTATCTGTATGTTCAAATGTTGCTAAGATTACCTTAGCACAATTGTTTTCAAGTTTAAAAAAATTTTTAAATACCCACAGGCTCTCTCCTTTTCTCCTATTAGCTTACTTATTACATGAATCACACTAACCAATTAATTCAGCTTGGGTTTAACATTTATGCATGACTTCACAAATTGTGCACAATTCCTGTTATTTGATTCCATTTCCATCGTATTTTAAAAGTTGGATTATATGAAATCAATTATTATAATACACTTCAGAGACTGAGACCATAAGCAACTGGGAAGAAAAAACAAGTTTCAACCTGAACAGGAATTATTGGTTCTTTCTAAAAAAGGAAATAATCTCTTAGTATTAAGAGAAAAAAAGACCATTATATTTTTTACCTAGAACAGTATCCAAATCTATGGAATACAATCATATCAAGTCTCTAAAAATTCTAGGAACTGTTTCAAGAGCTTTTCACAAGCTTCTCAAGGTACACTCCTGGTCTTACTTACCTAGAACTAGACCAAGACCTGCCAGGTCCTATGCATTCAGTAAGTGTTTGTTCAAACAATACTTAACTGCTTAATGCTCACAAATGACCCATTTTTCAAACTAAGAAACTACGTTTCAAATGGATAAAGTATCTCATGCTCAGGCACAGTATTCCTAGGGATTCTCATTCATCACTGCCTGATTGCGTGACTCATTATCTCACTGGCCAGAGCAGGGCAGCCCAACTCCATACCTCTCTAAGGGCAGGGCATGAGACTTCCTATACTTCAGACACCTTTTAGCACAGGCTTGTGCAAAGTAAAGGGGCAAAAAAAGAAATGTTTGTCAATACCATCAACCTTAATGTTTGTAGTATTCTATCAATGTAGGAATTCCCTCCAGATAAATTATTTCTTTAGAAAAAAAAAGTGTTGTTGTTATAGATATGAAACAATAGATTAATAACAAAGTTAAAATTTTTTGATGAAATCTCTGCAAAAAAGAATTAGGGTTGAGTAAAGGAAACAAAGTACATGCAGATGACTAAATTACTGTGAATACAATGGTGTATAATCAAGTTTTAAGTAATCGAATCCCTAAATTATTTGGCTATTATGGTTCATAATCACTTTCAGAATGGCGCATAGGATTGGTCTGATAGTCTAACACTTGACCAGTGGTTCTCAGTGTGAGGTTATTTTGTCCTTCGGGCAATTTCTTCCCTCAGGCAATGTCGGGAGACACTTTTGGTTGTCACAGCTGGGGAAGTACTACTGGCATCTCACGGGTAGAGGCCACGGATGCTGCTAAACATCCTATAATGCAAAGCACATCCCCTTAAATAATCAAGCAGCTCCAAATGTCAGGAGGGCCAAGGTTGAGAAATACTGTAGTAGACGATTTATACAAGGTGAAACTCTCCACTGTCCTCAAGTTTAAATTAGCACCGAGAGTAAGAGTAGGAAAAGCCTGGATGCCCCAGGTTCTGGACACTGCAACTTTCCCAAGCACACTACTGTCATCTGCAGCCAATTCAAGAGGAGTAGGTGATTCTGCAAGCTGCAGTGGAGACAGGGAGGTAAGGTAAAACGTGACATGCACTTTAACCTTCAGTGAATGTGCACATGTCTCCAGTAGCAGCATTCAGGAGTGCAAGAAGAAAGTACCAGCTTTCCTGGGTCCCCAGGGGTCCTAGATCTTCTGACAATTTCTGCCAAGTTAAATAAAGTTATTATTAAAATAAAATTATTATTAGATAGTTTTGTATCTAAAATTTAGTAACAAGGATTCCAAGAAAACCCATCCCAAACAAAGATAAATACAGACTATATGTAGCTTTCCCATCCCTGCTTCCCCTGCCTCCCGCCCTCCCCATTTTCTTACTTGGTAGATTATTCATTTGGTGATGGCATTATGGAAGCCATAGAACACATTGTAAACAAAGAAGGGACTATTTTGGTAGAGTTATTTCCTAGTAATAATAACAAAAGGGGAAAAAACAAACGTGTTTTAGAAGTATCAGGAACAATAAAGAGGAGTGAAACGTTTGTGAAGCTATGTCAATATCAAAATTATTAACCTCCTGTGACAAGGAGCTTCGAATGCTGGAGGAGTCAAAGAGACCTCCCATGAGAAAACTGCTGTTGAAACTCCAACACATGAAAGAGTCTATTAAATAAAAAAGCACATAGAAATGCCCAGCTTGATGTAACAAGGGAATCCAGAAGTTATCATCAGAGAGAGGGAAGCATTGCATGCCACGTCTTAGCTCCTTAAGGACTCTGATGATCCTGAAGTCTAAAACAAACATGGCTTTTTCTTATTTCTTATGTGCACTTGGAGTTCTAGGTGGGTATTAACTATAGAACTGCTCTGTCTTTCCTAGACTTAAACTAAAATGTGGCTCCCTATAGGGTAGGTAGATAGGGAAACACATAAAAGAACAATTAAAACAAAAATTTCCTAACATCTATACAAAGAAATCCATCATTAACACAGTGAGATATAACGCCTCCCAGAAAATGTTTGGTTAATGAATAATTAGTTCAAGAAAGAACATTAAGTGTATCAGGTTAGCCAAAGACAAGTACGTCACAGACACTATAAAATACAACATAATGGAATTTAAGAAGGACCCTACTCTAAAAAGCCCACAAAACCCACCTGTGTAAGAGGTCAAAGTATTTCAGCATTACAGATTTCTTCTGGATTAAAAAAATGACAGTAATATAAGAACTACATGTGTGGGCCTGCTATACTTATTCTAGAAGAGTCCTTGGTACAGTTTCATTAAAGATAAAATAGGAAAAACATCCATATTTCCTTATGTTAGAAACAGTACATTTTCAAAGAAAAAGTGATATGTATAATTGGCAATTTTTCTGGTAGACCCTGAAGGTCCACAGCACCAAAAATGTGGCTGCAAGCTTCAGTGCCTTGCTTTCCTCATCTATACAATCAGGAGTTGGCCTAAATCTCTAAGGTACAGTCAAGTGTGAAATTTGATTTTAGAACTTTAATTTTAACAGGGCTTTAGAAATTACATTGCTTCTATTGAAACATTAAAAAAAAATTAACGTTTATTTATTTTTCAGACAGAGAGAGATAGAGTGCAAGCTGGGGAGAGGCAGAGAGAGAGGAAGACAGAATCTGAAGCAGGCTCCAGGCTCCACGTTGTCAACACAGAGTCCAACGTGGGGCTTGAACCCACAAACCGTGAGATCATGACCTGAGCCTAAGTCAGATGCTTAACTGACTGAGCCACCCAGGCGCCCCTGATGAAACATTTTTTTAATAATTTTTTTTAATGTTTATTCACTTTTGAGAGAGAGCGTGAGTGGGAGAGGGGCAGAGAGACAGGGAGATGCAGAATCCGAAGCAGGCTCCAGGCTCTGAGCTGTCAGCACAGAGCTCAATGTGGGGCTCAAACCCACGAACCATGAGATGATGACCTGAGCCTAAGTCAGACACTTAACCGACTGAACCACCCAGGTGCCCTGAAACATTTTTAAATAATAAAAGACGATAATTTTCTTTTCATCTCCCTAACATTCTGAAAGTTTCAGTGAAACACTCTAGGGGGTGCAAGCATAGGTAGAAAAGTATAATACATAAACATAAAATTATGTTGAATGTCCGTGTTAACATGGGTTTGTGTCTAAGACAAGAAACAGATATTGGCAAATTCATTAATTAAAATCCTATTAACTATTTTTCATGTTAAACTATAATTTATTAAAACAGGACAACTCCCTTGATGAGGATTATTCTGGATACTGATCAACCAGAAGGTGTGCCCTTGCTTGGAATTTTATTTTCCTTTATTAACAATCCATGCTTAAGGAAGCTTAAGGCAGGTGTGTTAGCCAAGAGGTCTGCCCAGGTGATAACGTTAATGACTAGGTAGGAACAGGAAAAATGTGTGAGTTTTACAATTTTATTTTATTTTATTTTTTAAAAATTTTTTTAATGTTTGTTTATTTTTGAGAGAGAGAGAGAGAGAGAGAAAGCAGGGGATGGGCAGAGAGAGAGGGAGACACAGAATCCAAAGCAGGCTCTAGGCTCTGAGCTGTCAGCACAGAGCCGAACATGGGGCTTGAACTCACAGACTGTGAGATCATGACCTGAGCCAAAGTCGGGCGCTTAACCAACCGCCTGAGCACCTAGGTGCCCCGAGTTTTACAATTTTAAAAAACTGACTGGAAGACCTTTGTAAAGACATTTTTATTCTACCACATATACAAAAGGAAAACAATTTTTTCCAAAGATAGTATCTCCTAATTATTTTTATTATAAAGATGTCCTTAGTGATGGACTGCCAAAAAATTTCAATGCCACTATCCCTGTTGGCCTAGACTGTCACATAACCGGTAAAATATCTCCTTTAGCAATTTAAAAATACCAATCTCTCTAGAGGTGTACAGTCAGCTCCTTGAACCCACCCAAGGGACCTCACATCACACTTCTCATGCTGCTGTGTCACAAATACTCTCTCCTTAAGGCCAGAGCAAGCTTTAGTTCCCTAGAATAAAATAAGCACTTTAAGAACTACAACCATGCCTCTCTACTGTCCTTAGGTTTAGATCTGCTCCACGGTATCCTTATATTCTTAACAGAATTGCACTTCTAATTAGCAGCACTCGAGAATACCTAAATCTTCCTTCATTTAAAATTCAACTGGGTAGAAAGTTATAAAAGTGTTTCAGCACACAGTACTTCTGATGACCTCAAATTTGCTGAATTGAAACCACTCACTAGCAGAAAACTATTCAAAAAATATCCTTCTAGAAATTCTAACATATGCAATCAGGAGAAATCTCTTATTCAAGAATAAGGTTAACTACTTTAAGATTAAAAAAAAAAAAATCAAGACGCTGTTAGAATCTAATGGACCAACATTTTCCATTTGAGCCCACACTTACCTCTCCCGAGGAACAGCAAACCAGTACTCTGGCTGCTTTCTTCGTTTGCCATACTGCTGGACCATGGCTGCAGTGTGAGTGGCAAAGGATTTTCTCATTGGTTTTCCTACTTTAATGCACAGAAACATGGGTGGGGTCTTGCTTTTCTCTTCTTTTGAAGGAAGTATATCTGAATCACATATGAAAAAAACTTCCTCAATACTGACAGTATTAGTGAAAGTCAAACACTTCAAATTACAAAGAAGAGTGCCTGATCCCCTCTTAGTGATAGAAAATCAAAACATAGGGAAAAACAAAAAAAAAAACCCACTAAATTAGAACTAATCACATTTTTCAGACCTTCTTTAACACAAAAGGAAAAAGCGTTGGATGTTTCAGGTTGGTCTATATCATATAAGATGCTACCTACTGGGAATATGCATAAAAACCAACACAACATGACAATTCACAAGAATATATAGCCATGAAGGGTACTGAGGACCCACTTACACCAGAAGGCAATTTAGTTTAGAATTGAAAGATCTTCAAAAACACTTCAAATCCCTGGGTCACCTGGGTGGCTGTCGGCTAAGCGTCCAACTCTTGATTTTGGCTCAGCTGGCAGTTTGAGAGTTTGAGGCCCGCATTGGGCTCTCCACCGACAGTGTGGAACCTGCTTGGGATTCTCCCTCTCGCTCTGCCCCTCCCTCCGACAAAAATAAATAAACTCAAAAATTTATAAAAAAATTTCAAACCCTTTATATTTGGAAATTCAAGGTAAAAAGGAAAGTTACTTGAATTTTTTTTTTTTTTTTTAAAGCAAACTACTTTTGAACTAGAAATCTAGGTCACAGTTCAAGGTCCAAAATAGATACTATTATACTGATGCTAAGTTTTTTCTCAATTAATGTATAAGTACAGATAAGCTCTATCCAGAAAAAGTTCTCAAATAATTATTCTAATTTTGCTTGCATTTGCAAGTTTCAGAAAGCCAACTATACAACAGAATATAAAGATACTTTAAACAAAAATGGCTTACCTTCAATGGGTACCTGAATTCTCTTTAACAGCCACAACTGAATTTCGGACTTATTATCCATTTGTGCGCCTTGGCAGCTGTTGTCCAGAGTAGATTCTGAAGAGATGTCTAGAGACTCTTTATTCATATTTTCTTCTGTGGAAGACGCCAGTTGCAGTGGGAGGGACACTCTCTCTTTCATCCAGGTTTTATCTGGCTCCTTACTGTCCTCAGTTGGGGGACCACCTACCTGGGGAAGAGAACTACTAAGGGTGATATCTATTCCCACTGGCTCGATACTTTTGCCATCACTTAGTTCTGCCTTCTGCAAGTTTTCAGAGAACTGTGACCCTTCTTTGTTCTTATTAAGGTAATATTCAATGAGTTTAACTTTATCTAGATCTTCATGTATGTTCAGTGTGTTTTCCACCTGGCTTTCTGGGGAACCAGACTGCTTGTCCACCTCTGGCATTATATCTTGCTTCTCACAGGTTTCTAAATCTAGGGCCCCCTTCAGCTCAGCATCACTATCTGTTCCGGAAAAGCTCAGGGCTGACTGCACCTGCATTTTTGTAGTAGAACTGATTATTTGTGACTTAGCCTTCCTTAGCTCTTCTGGATCAAGAGTAAGGCACTCCTTTGAGGTGTCTCTTTTGTCCATTCCACTATCAGTTTGAGAAGAAAGTTCTTCCAAGTCAACAAAGTCATCATCTTCCCCTAAAAGGGAATTTTCTTTGGCTATAGATTCAAATGCAGCACGAGTGTCAGAAGGTTCCTTGCTGACCCTAGTCATTGTGGTAGATCCACTGGTTGCCTCTGTGGAAGATTCCAGGGTCTTTAGTTTTCCTGACACAGAGCTATCTGAGGGTTTTATGTGTGTGTATTCTGTTGACTTCTCCAGAGGTCTTGTTGATTTGGAATCTGAAGTGATGGCTCTCTCTCCATTCTGCTGCCGTTTTTCCTTGTTGAGAGATTTGAACTTACTGAATGGGTTGATATCTTTTTCTGAAGCCAGGTCTTCCCATTCTCCAGGCCTGTACAGAGGACAAAGATCCTGAGGTAGGTCACTGTCGGGGGAAAAATGGTGGGTGCACATGGAATGTTAAAAACAAAACCAAAAACAAAATGGAGGAAAGGCAAAAACTAAAACATAAATATACCACAACTTAAATTTATGTGTAAATGATTTCAGAATAAGGAAATGAAATCAAGAAATTGACTTCAAAATGAAACAAATAAACTATAAGAAGGGGTAAAACAAAGGACCATGAGAGTCGCATATCCTACTAGAAGGACATGAATGATTTTTGAGGTCATTTATGAACATGGAGATGTCACCCACCAGATTTTTAATGATGAAATAATATTTCTGATATTCGTGAAGGAAAGGACAAAGGAAATGTTTTAGTACAATGACTTAAATTCCTTAACTATGCAAAGCTTTTCCTTTTTATAAGATAGCATATAAACCAACTACATTAATTCTTAATGGTTCACTGACTGAGTAGCTACTCATTGAACTGTTGTAGAAATTACCAGCCCCAAACCCTAATTCTGAGTTTCATGACAAAGAATCTGATGTTTCCGATAACAGACATCCTTCTCTTCCTGAGGGAGATGCAAGAAGCTTATAGTACCTGCTCCATTTTACACTTTAAAAATTTATAGAAAAGTAAACCAAATAAGCTCTTACTTATGATACTAAGTTTAAAATTCTTAATTTCTTTACTCATAACAATATCATTTTACTTTATGGTGATGGACACTGGTTTATCATCTGAAACATACTGTCCCTTAACAACAGACGCTTTTCTACCAAGGTTTGAATGACACAAAAATATTGATTAAATATGTTCTCCAAAGTTGAAAATAAATGGTCAAGAAACATAATCTTTAAGCTATGACTGGAAAAATTTTGAGTAACCTCTATTTTCACTTACCTTAGTATTAACACTGGGTTAAACACAGATATATAAAACCCTCCTAAAAAATAACATTGTTAGATTTCAGAAATAATTTCTAAAAAGGCTAGATCATATTTAGGTAATACTTTATTTTTTTAAATTTACTGTCAAATTGGCTAACATACCGTGCATACAGTGTGCTCTTGGTTTTGGGGGTAGATCCCCATGATTCATCAATACTCTATCTATTTTTCTGGCTTTGAAATAATTATGGCCATAAACCAACAGAGTACCAGGAAGTTCTCAAGTTATAAGACTATCTCCCCAAAGTTATTTCATAAATCACACACATGGAACATCCATGCTTTTTCTAATACAAATAAAAGCCTCCATAATTGATAGGCTTTCATAAATGCTTTAAAAAAACTTCTTTAATTCATAATTCATTTCAATTCAATAAGCATTCATTGAGCCGCTAAATGCCATATGCTAAAGGACGATTTTGACAATGTGTTTGTTCTGCAGGAACCTGCATGCACAAAAATGTTCTGCCCAACACTAGCATCCCAGGAGACATTAAAGATGCTTCAGTCCTAGAGTCAGATAAGTAGTGTAACGTGTCATAATTTCCATTTTAGGACCCCAAATTTAATTTGGCATATTAGAGGTTATAAGAAGTCTTGCAACAAAGAAACCCAGTTCTTCACATACTCGGTTAATAAGCAAAACTTTCTTCCATGAACACCCAAGACCCTTTCTCATCTCTTCCTGATCTAGCTTGACCACCATGAATAGATGTGACTACATTCTGCTCAGCCTCTTACTTTACCTTGTCTACCCCTCCCTTCTTGTTCATCTACCTAATCCAAGTGGGGATTAACTTGTTTTTTTGGCACCGTAGCTGCCAAGCACTGCTGGGGCAAAGTACACAGTGGTGTCAACTGTCTCTACTGTTAATGTTTTCCAGACTCAGCGAGACACCTAATGTTGATCAATAATCCCTTCAGTTGTTCCCTTCCTATTCTCTGCGGCTACAAAATGTCCTACACAAAAAATACAAAGCCTGAAGTAGAGGGTGGGGAGGTTTCACTCTCACACACACACACACACACACACACACACACACACACACACTTTTAAAAACTATTTGCACATTGCAGTTACAGAATTTATACATGCTTTATCATACAATTTTTGGTAATAATGACATTTTAAGATATTTCTAACTTTTAAACAATTGATGGAGTTCTGAAGTCGATACGAATTTTATATCACACCAATTTCACTCACACATTCTATTTTGCCCATTGGTGCACATATTGTTCACTAGACTGAAAAGTCTTCACATACTTGCGTTCAAGGTGAGAATCAGTGAATAATACTGAAAGAAACTGAACATAGTAGGAGCCAATTCTTAATTCTTCTCTTTCCCTCCAGCTATAGCATTAACTTCGTATCCCAGATCATTAAAAATCTCACAATGAGAGAAATCTTTCTGTAAAGACATACCTTCCTTTCCTAATATTAAAAAGAATACTTAACATCCTAAGCTGAAGATGTACAATAGTATTATCCCATTAGAAACCATCATTGGGCAAGAAATGCCCCCATTTGCCTGGTCATTCACTTCTAAACTTAACTATTTCTTTACTTATCTTCTTTCTTCTTGTCACAGAGAACCTAATGTTCATTCCTTATTTCTAAAACTAGGACTCCTCATGTCCTCCTCTCTGCCTCCATCTAAGATCCCAAGGTAGCAGGACACTCCCTCACGAGGGTTTTCATGGAATGCCATGTGCAGTTCTATATGGTGCCATTTCGTTACCACATTTCTCCGTCTGTCTTTTGCACCCTGTAGACTATAAGCTCCTCAAGGGCAAACCTGTAGACTATAAGCTCCTCAAGGGCAGAGGCCATGACCCACTCATCTTCACATCCTTGTCACTCAAGAGGCATGCACTAAGATGAACTAGAAGCCTCGACTGCATGGACAAGATTCCCCAGAACAATGAACAGAGTTTCAGATATGAATTAAAGGTTCATATAACAGCTATACTTAAAAGGTATCAGGCTATTTTCTAAGAGTTTTAGTATATCAATACATTGAGTTCTTAAAACAGACTTATAAGCTGAAGAACACTCTTCATTCCATTTAACAGATAAGAAAACTGAGGCTTGGGACTCAGCAACTCATGCAGGTCATGGGGCTGTCAGTGGCTGAACCAGGACAACCCAGGCGGTGTGGCTCCAGAATGAATTCATCACGCAGAACTGCCTGGCCTGCAACACTGCCTCCTACTTCTCACTTGGATACTTTGGGCAGAATTTAGAAACTACCTCAGTGCCCATGCTCTGCGCTGGCTTCAGTGGCTTGGAGCTGAGTAAGGGCCAAGTGGGTCTGATGCCAAGGACTCTGAGAGTCCAGGGAGACCTGCTGGTATAAATTCCTAAGGACGATGTGTGTGGGTTAGTTCTCTAGCTGCCTGCCCTTCTTTTCATAAGTCCCAAGGGCTAGTTTCTCTTTGCACAATTAGGACCCACCGCTTTCCCTCTACCTTCCTATCATGGAGGTTTCTGAAGAATTTTACTACTAGGAGATCTAGAGAAACAGAAACATTGACAAAGTGACAGTAGGAATCATATTATCCCTTAAATGAATTGATACCCTGAGCTTTCTTAACCCTCTTTCTCTTTCTTCATGGGAAGCTTCCTTTTCTCTCTTTTACAAAACAAAAACAAAACAAAACAAAACTCAGTTTTATAAGGCAAAAATAATCAAGACTAAGATAATATTCATCTACGTTTCAGAAACAAACAGATCAGTATTGCTCCGTCTTCATACCACTTAGGGTGGTCCGGCTACGGCCGCAGCGGCCTCAGCACTCTCCACTCAGAGCTCTCTCTGCAGGATTTAGGGAACACCTGAGTTAGGAAGCCTGCCTACCCTAGAATTTGAATGAGAACAAAATTCAACTAAACTAAAGAAAAATACTATTCTCTTACTGGGAACCAGACTAAAATTCTTTCGGAGAAACTATTTCTTATTTCATCGATTCATTAAGAACATGCCCTGCTTTTCAGAAAAATAAGCCAAGAAATGCCATTTTTATGTGTTGGCTTTTTTGCTTTTCTCCTTTCATTTTTATATGTACAGCTTTTCCCTTTATCTCCATTCCCTCTCCTTTCTCTATTCTTTAAAAAATTTACTGCACAAATCTTCCACCTTCAAATTCACCTCTATACAATCTCCCACTGCTGCCAACTCCCTCACTTTTTAATTGCATTTAATTCTCCAAACACCGGAATTCTGTTTGTTTTTGGTAAACAAAGAAATATCTCTTACGATGGCAAGGCATCTTTGATCTTCATGTGGGAAATGTCGTTGTAGAGGGCAATGGAAACCACCTCTTCCATGGGGCAAATGAGGCCATACTCCTCACAACCATTTTCAATGACCAGGGGATCAGACTTGTGAGGGTCAAACATGATGTTGTTTGGAGTAACAATCATGACGCCTCCGACCACACCCTACAGGACAAAGGGACAGGACAGAATCACCACGGGCAGAAATCCAACCACAGCAGCTTTAATGGACTCGTGTTAACATTCTGTTGACTCTGGCGTACCATGGTATCCCATCACACCCCCTTTAAGAGCAGGAGAACAACAGGCTGAAGAAATGCAAAGTTGGGTACTGTGTGGCGAGGCAGAGAAAACAGAGCTGCCTCACTAAAGCAGTCAACCAAGCCTGGTTCTGGAGCAGCTGCTGCCATAGTACCATTGTAGTGGGATCTTGGGCTGCACATCTATGCCTCGCACTCCCCAGTCCCCTGTAAAATGGGAGGGCTGTCCCAAGTGCTTTCCCAATTGAGAACTGGGTGTTTTACAATCTACTCAGCACATGTTCACTATGTGTCCAACCAGTATATGGTACCGTACATGGTACATGGCATCTGTCTCAGAGCCATGGTGCAAATTAGAGTCCTAGTATTTTTCTCTCAAATGTTTAGAAAGGTCACATTCTATTTGTGCCAGCAAAATTCGACACAAATAGGAATATGAAATATTTTGCAGCCAGAGATGAATATAGCTAAACTATGGAGGCTAATAGTAAACAAACAGTAATTTGGTGGGAACTTTTGTCCGTACCTTGGTCAGTTTACTGTTTTATAGATGGCAACAGGGATATTATCTACCAGAGACAGCAGGACACAGAGGACTCCCCATAGGTAGATTATTTACCTTGGTCCTCTTCGTGAGTTAACTGATCATCTTTGTGAAACATTTTGCATTTCAGGCATTACTTATTCTTGGTTGCAAAAGTTAAAATGCTTATCAATAGTGTATTTTCCTACCATTTGGAACCTGGCATGAAGTCTCTACTCTGCACACAAGAACTGACTTTACATCAACATAACCCCTTCTTCAGAGGCTCACTGAAAGTTGGATTTGTTCTTTGTAAATCACACCAACCACCAAAAAACTAAATACACAACACAGCAGACATTATTTTTAATACCAGCATCTCCAGCAGCAAATGGGTTGAGAATTGAACATTTCCGAAGTTAGGTACTAAGGTCTTTACATCAATTATCCCTTTTAATTACCACCCCCTACAGAGGCAATTTTATTATAGTTCCTATTTCATAGGTGAGGAAAATGGAAGCTTTGGCAACTTAAATACCCTGCCTATAGTCTCAGAGCAAGCAGATAGAAGAGTTGGGTTTTATTTTTTAATTTTTTTAATGTTTATTTATCTTTGAAAGAAAGAGAGAGAGAGAGAAAGAGAGAGAGAGAGAGAGAGAGAAAGAGAGAGAATGCAAGTGGGGGAGGGACAGAGAGAAAGGGAGACACAGAATCTGAAGCAGGCTCCAGGCTCTGAGCTGTCAGCACAGAGCCCGGACGCGGGGCTCAAACTCATGAAGGGCAAGATCATGACCTGAGCCAAAGTAGGATGCTTAACTGAAGGAGCCACCCAGGTGCCCCAGCAGAGTTGGATTTTAAATTCACTAACTCCAGTCTTTATTGTTAAGCATATACTATATTGTCTCCCTAGCAATTTATAAGCCAAGAGTTGAAAGATAAAATGGTAAGTCCTAGATCACAAAGAATCGTATTTCTCCTAATATATACAATGCTAGGGATCCAACAGGGGAAAACAAATGGACACTTATGAAATCTTAAGCTGAAACTTTGGGAAAGATATTTTAATGTCTCCTATCTTCAGTAATTTGAAACCTAAGTTAGTTTTCCATGGAGTTCAAGAAAAGGAAACAAATTACACTGCCATATACCTTTCCATCAGTGAAGTATCGACAATTCATTTTTAGAAATTTTACCACGCCTGGCTCATCTTCTTCAGAAGTGGATGATAAGACTCTTTCAATGGGTTTTAAGGCCTTTCTTGCTAAGTCAGCATCCTTTAAGAAAGCAAAATTCCCAAAATCAAATGGAAGCCCTTTTTAAACAGATTATTTCTATAAATCAAGCCACGTAAGTTTCCTATAAGGAACCTGTTTCTATTTACCTTGAACATGAAAAAGAGCCAAATATGCTTCATTCTCCAAGAATTATCACAAATACAATTAAGTATCCAAATCAAACTAAGATTTAAACAACAACAACAGTAAGGGTGTATGTATGAACTCATAAAAATGGCTCATCAAATGTTTTTAGAAAATAACCTAAATGAAATAATTCATATTTGACTCATGGTTCGATTTCTCTAGAAAAAGGAGTAAAAGCAGTACAAATCAACTATCTGTCTCATCCAGAGTTTAATTGCATACTTTTACATATAAAAGGTGTACATTTTTCCCTCTGAGACCTTAAATATGAAATAGGTTTCTTTTTGATAGGACATATTCTCTCAACTAAGACAAATCCTTAACCCTACCCCCTTTGGGGAAATTTCAGATGAAAACCTGTGAAAAACAACACATAAAATTCTACAACTCAAAAAATTATTTGATAAATATGAATATTAGTTCACGAATGACATACATACAGGCAGTTTATCATATTCTGCATCTGATGATGAAGGAGACACAGTAGCACCAGGACTGGATGATGATAATCTTAAGGTACTGGAAGGAAAGTTAGCATCTGGCACGAAAAGGACCTGAGAATGGGAAAGACAAGTGAAGTGAATATCGAGATCAGGCAAACACTGGACAGTGTTTAGGGCATTACTTTCTGTACAGAATCATGCTAAGTACATGACTAAGACTTGGTTGGGGGGCACCTGGGTGTCTCAGTTGGTTAAGTGTATGACTTTGGCTCAGGTCATGATCTCACAGTTCCTGAGTTCAAGCCCCGCGACGGGCTCACTGCTGTCAGCACAGAGCCCGCTTCGGATCCTCTGATCCCCTCTCTCTCTGCCCCATCCCAACTCACGTGCTCTCTCTCTCCCTCAAAAATAAAGTAGACATTAAAAAAAAAAAGTCTGTTCTCTTAAAAAAAAAAAAAAAAAAAAAAAAAAAAGACCTAGTTGGCCTTCCCAAAACTTGTAAGTACCTTGGAGGCTTCTGGACTAATCCATGAAACAATTACTCATAATATGAATGCGTTCAGTGCAAAAGGTATGGAACACACCCACAGACACTGCAGGAGCTCACAGAGGGGAGAACAAGGTGGGTGAGTACTCTGGACACATCATATAAAGCAAGTGAGTCCAAGTGAGGCTTTGAACAGCATAGAAGATTTAGAGAGGAAAGAAGATTCCAGGGAGGGGCACTAAGGACAGGGAAGAAAGGAAAGAGTAGCATGGCATGCTTCTAAACCCAACACCTGCATCAGGAAGAAATGGAACAAATTCACGCTTGCTAACTCTCAGCAGGCCCTGAGTACTAACGTAAGATCATTACAAGTTGTACAAGGTAATATCAATAATCTCAATAATTTCTATCACCATCAACTTATCTAAAAACAAAAACTGAAATCTCCCACAGTGTACAAAATAGCCTCTTTCCGCAAAATGTACTGGTGCCTGAAATGTTATTATGATCTTATCATTCAACACTCTTACAGTGAGACATGCAACATTTTGGCATATATCATATACAGTCTTAAAATGATGTCCTTTAGGGCTGCCTGGGTGGCTCAGTCGGTTGAGCGTCCGACTTCAGCCCAGGTCATGATCTCGTGGTCCATGAGTTCGAGCCCCGCGTCGGGCTCTGTGCTGACAGCTTGGAGCCCGGAGCCTGTTTCAGATTTTGTGTCTCCCTCTCTCTCTGACCCTCCCCTGTTCATGCTCTGTCTCTCTCTGTCTCAAAAATAAATACACATTAAAAAAACTTTTTAAATGATGTCCTTTAATGTTATAAAACAGAATTCAGCACTAATTGTATAACAAGTGTTCACACTTTCCCATCCTATCTCTGTTTTAACTTTAGTTATTTAAATCTCTCTTCAATCCAGAAAAAAGGTGAGACAACAACAAAAGACACATTCTGATAAAGGTAGGAAAACCAATATCAAGGAGAATAACATGAGGACTAATTACTACTGAAACTACATACTCCAAAATTACCAAACACTCTTTGAGGGGTGGGCCATAAAACGGGTTCTGAGTTTCCAAATAACCAATGCAAAGGGACAGACATCATTAGTCAGCAGAATTCAACTTCCATAAGATAAAAACAAACCAGTCTTGGGGTGCCTGGGTGGCTCAGTCATTTAAGCATCTGACTCTTGGTTTCGGCTCAGGTCACGATCTCGTGGCTTTGTGGGTCTGAGCCCCACATTGGGCTCTGCGCTGGCAGTGAGGAGCCTGCTTGGGATTCTCTCTCTCTCTCTCTCTCTCTCTCTCTCTCTCTCTCTGCCCCTCCCCCACTGCATCTCTCTCTCAAAATAAATAAACTTAAAAAAAACAAAACCCAGTCTCTCATAAGTAGAAGTATTTTCTCATTAAGTCTCATAAAGAGTATCCCAGTCTGAACTACTTGTCTTTGATGACACACTGACAATTAATACAATAACCAGTTTGGGAGGACTATTCTTAATTAGATCTGCGATGTAGATCAATGGCAAATGCCAAAGTGTAGAGTTCTACAAATGTACCTTACAGAGGGCTATAATTCTATGCTCTCTTATCTCATGTATCTGGACAAGAGGAATGAATGGATAACATTTCTTCCAAGCAATTCTCCATTAACAGTTTTTTGTATCTGAGTTTTGACAAGTGTTAGGCAACACAGGTTAAGATTCTATTGTCTGGCATGTTCTAAATGTCCAATCAAAAGGATAATTCCTGTGCTTAAACAGTTCATTACAGTGTAGAGGTGACAGTTGGATGCTGGGACGCTCAGTCAGAAGATGTGCTACCTCAACAGGGAGGTGAGCCAGGAACACGGGCAGGGGTAAGGGCGGTTTACCTACTGACTGCAGAAAATAATTCTGCTCCAACACACAGGCATAACTGTCAAATTTTTCAAAGCATGTGTAGCCAAGGTGCTCGATGAATATAAAAACAGCTTAAATCTATATCTGCAAGGTAACTCCTGAGTGTGCTTAAGATAAACTACTTGAAAAAGTATATTCTTTGTACATGTCCTGAAATTTGATGTAAGTATCCAAACTAATAGCCAAACTCAGGACCTTCTAAAACTATTGTTTAGGCCTCAGTTGTTTACATTTATCTGCTATTGTTTTTGGTCTTTTAAGCAACAAAAGAGTCTACAGTTTTAAGATTTAAAAGCTTCAGGTAACTGCCTCTGAAAATTACTTCTTACATGTAGTCACTTACATAGCCAGACCAGTTTCCTTTCCTACCTCACGGTGACCATCAAAATCAGTCTCTAGAAGAGTGAAGCTCACATTTTTTGGAGCCAGAGCAGACAAAAATAGTCTTGAATGATCAGATCTACTGAGATGAAAGCAATACCTACCCCACTCAGAGTATTTAAAAATCCTTGAAAACAAAAAGTTGTCTACAGTTTTTGAAAGCCCCTTGATTTCACTCTTCTTGATTTCTTATCTTTGTCAACAAAATCCTAATTCTATCTGGGTCCTGGGACAACCAACAGCATACAACTGTTTAGTCATATGAGGGCTGGACTGCATAGCAAATGCTAGAAAAGCCATCAGAGATAACGTGGCCCAACACCTAACTTCAGGGATTAGGAAACTGAGGTCCAAAAAAGGAAGGGACTCACCCACATCAAACAGTTACTACAAGGCCAGTCAGAAACAAAGTGTTAGAGATCCTACTTTGGTATTTTTGCCATATTAATAGGCATATTAAAACAGTCCATTGGTTACTGGACCTTAACCTAGTACCAATATTTTGTTTATGGACATAGTAAAAAAAATAAGGAATTGCTCTAAATTATTTTCCTACATTCTAGTGACTACAGTCTCTGGTTTTTTTTTTAATGTTTTATTTATTTTTGAGAGAGTGTAAGCAGGGGAGGGACAAAGAGAGAAGGGCAGAAGATCTGAAGCAGGCTCTGCACTGACAGCAGTGAGCCCGACATGGGGCTTGAACTCACAAACCATGAGATCATGACCTGTGCCAAAGTCAGATGCTCAAATGACTGAGCCACCCAGGAGCCCCTAGTGACTACAGACTTTAGCCTTGAATTAGTAAATACACGTCTAGGTTCTCTGCTATGGGTCAGTAAGATAATACGCAGTAATACTTCAGATTATAAGAAATCCCCAAAAGGAGAGATCTACTGTTAGTTTTCTTAGAAATAAATTTTCATTAATTTTTGAGAAGTTTTAATGCATATCTCCCTTCAATTACCTGGTGCTGGAAATATGCTAATTTCTCCTTTTAACAAGAACATAAATACTAAAAGTACCATAATATAAACTGGCCAGCTTATGGCCTGTTGGCTTCATGTGCTGCCTTTGAATAAAACGCAAAGAACAATCTCACTGTTACCTCAATAAAGTTGTCTTTAAAAGTCATAGTATCTATTCTGGAAGAATTAAAGGTCACTATAATGTAGAGATGCAGAAAAATGCTCAAGTCAGTCCACAACTAAAACCAGAATGTGCTCACGGCAACCAGACAGTTCTATGGATAGGAATGGAAACGTGGCCTCAGCTAGGACCTGCCAATGACTGGGTCATTTGTATCTATTGGCTAAATGTAGTTTTAAAGTAGTAATAAAAGAATATCTCATTAAATATGTGGAAGGCACTAAAAACATTGGCTAGATTAACCAAGAGTGGCAAAATTACACAATTAGCTAATTCCATTCAGTTTAATAAAGTATTAATTTAAAAACCTGGGGAAGAAATCGTGTGGCTTTTTCTTGATAGTCCTGCTGAATGTCTCTGCCTCTGGCTACTTTTGTCAGGTACCATATAAACACAAAAATGAAAAAAATTTGCTTAATTTAAAGTCAAATGATGGCCATAATGTATCCCAGGAGTGGAATAAACTGAAACGTGCACTTCTAAATTAAACATTCTGAGAACATTTGAGTTATATTCTACAGAAGAAAAAGTCAAATTTAACTTCTCCTGATGCCCTACAGGACATCCACAACATAAACTAATGATAGTTAAGTAAGCTGTTAATCATCTGCAAGGCATTCATTTCTGAAGTTCCTAAGTTCTACAATGCTTTCAGAATTCTTGGATCTAATGGAAAGACTGTACCAATGCACATTATCAACGATGATAATCCCATGACACTAAGAGTGAAGCATTAAAAATGGCAATAAAAGATAAATGCAAAATTTCTAAAAAGTAATACCCAACAAGTAAAGAATTACCTGGCCTGGAACAATAGTATGTGTGAAAAGTTTATTCAGTTCCACTAATTTATTGGGAGTGATGTTAAACTTCAGGGCTATGGAGTTTAGGGTGTCCTGGCTTCCAGCCTAGAATAATCAAACAAACAAGATTCAAAATATAAAGCAAAAACAACAAACAAACAAAACCCTCCCTTTTAGTAAACAACATTAATCTATTTCTGATCTGAGTGGATGAAAAGTAGTTCTTTCCAGATATATTCTGAAAAAGAAAGTAAATACATTCTCCATTCTTAATAAAACCATAGAAAAGCAAAGTCTTACATGCAATTTATTTCTGGGCTCCCTTATCTTCAAATTTCAGTGTCCACTAAGATTTCTAAATCTACTTTGGCACAACCTAGCTGTGTGGAGTAGAGGTTCACAACGTACAATAAAAACTGTTAAGAAGAGAAGAAATAAAACACACACACAGTCCCCACCCAATAGAGGAGGGCTACTTCCTCTATTCTCAATGTTCTGTCTTCTTCCCAGTTGTTCACTGCACTAAAGGCTCCTGCATGGTGACCTGTTAATGGCTGATAACGTCAGTGTCAGCACAGTGCCCAACACACAGAAGATACTCAAATGTTTGACAAATGAATATGACGGAAGGCAAGTAAATCATTATGAAATTCAGATTAGCTACCAATAACTGTTCACAGTCATTAAAATGACAACTTCTGATAGTCAGCCAGATTAGTGTTATTCTCCAAATCTGTGAAACTTGCGATTCATGCCCCACGTGTGTATTTCTTTCTTTCTCTAACAAAGGGTTATAGGCCTAAAGAGGGCAATGAGAGGATGTGAAACTTCACAGTAAATAGCTCCACCCACAAAAAGTCTGCTGCCCCTGGTCAGGCCAATATCCCAGACTTCTTGTCTAGGGTCACTGGATAGAACTTGTTAGTGGGAGGCCACTCTGGTGTGTGTCACTAAGAAGTTCCCATACACAGCCTTGGATCAAGACAGGTGACTGTCCCTATATTCAAAATTGGCTCCACCAGGTGAGCCCTGACCGAGGTGGCGATGTGAGGTGGCTGGAGGAGGTCGTGGACTACTGAAGATACAGATGTAGAATTAAATTCACCACTGTCCTGGGGCGCCTGGGTGGCGCAGTCGGTTAAGCGTCCGACTTCAGCCAGGTCACGATCTCGCCGTCCGTGAGTTCGAGCCCCGCGTCGGGCTCTGGGCTGATGGCTCAGAGCCTGGAGCCTGCTGTTTCCGATTCTGTGTCTCCCTCTCTCTCTGCCCCTCCCCCGTTCATGCTCTGTCTCTCTCTATCCCAAAAATAAATAAACGTTGAAAAAAAAAATTTAAAAAAAAAAAAAAAAAAGAGAAAAAAATAAATTCACCACTGTCCTTAGCATCAAAACTCCACCAACTAGATGAACAGTCTCAGACTAATCAAGGTCATAGTTACAAATTACACCAAAATGACCTCAAAGCATTTCTGGAACAAGTCAATATATAAATACATGTATTTTAAAAAATCATTTAAAAATTAGCAATATATGGCCCTACCTCTACCTTGGGCAAAACCAGCCTTACTAAAAATGAAAAAGAAAAAAGACGTTTTACCTAACATATTCAAATCCAGGGGTTTTGGGGGTTTAGAGTCAGTATGAGACACACTTAGAATGGAGACTACAGCCAGACTGCTGGATCTGAATTCTAGACCTGCCACTTGCTAGCTGTGTGACCTTGGGTCATTTACTTAACTTCTCTGCAGTTCAGGTTCTTGATCCATCAAACAGATAATTGTAATTTCTGCTTCACAGCACTTACTTCATGGCAAGTGATCAAAAAATTTACTTCGTATTTTTAAGAAAAGACTTATAGAAATATACTGTGCATAGGGAGTTCAGGAAAGAGAAAAAACCTTAACAATCTGGAATTATTACATAACAACAAGACATAAATACAGCATCAAGCCACAGACCCTGGGATGGATATGGGAATCATTAAATGTTTAAAACTAAACAGAATGTGAACATCCACAGCTTTGGAGCAATATAAGCAATCCATTAAGTGCTAGCATGGTTCTCTAAACATGAAGTTATGAATCACCTTTTATTTCCAATGACAAGTACAAATAATAACTTGCCAAGTAAAACTAATCCCCATAACCTGCAAATCAAACAGGCAGACATATCTGCATTGCTAATTTGATCACCTGTTTATAAGAGTTAATGTGGGGGTTGATACTTACTCTCACTGCACCATTTAGTATATACTATGGGAAACGTCTCCTAGAAAACACCCCTTGTCATTTCTTTGGAGGGGCTTGTGCATAATACTGCTGGATACACACATGGCTTTAGAGTTAATATTGTTACTAATGATAAATAATCCAACACTTCTTGAGTACCTACTATCAGGTAAGGCACTGTGCTAGGTGTTATGGGGATCAATAACCTATTGTGGACCATGGTAAAGTGAAATAAATAATCACCCCAAGTCCCTCTGGAAAGGACCAGGCCTATAACCCACAGAAAGATGCCTAGAGACGTTCACTGAGCACTGAGCATGAAATGCCTGTGCCAGGACTCCTCAGTGTAACTCTGGAAAGGCTTGCAAACAATTTACCATTCAAAAAGAAATGCCAGGGAAGGATCAGGTCTTGCTACTTGCCTGTACAGAGCCTGGCATAGCACATGAATAATGAGTAGGAAAAAAAATGCACATGAGAAAATCACAACCAGGTAATGGCAACAGCATTTAATTTCTTATTACAAGTCAGAGAACTCTCCTCAACAATGCTACTTCAAAGTGAATTAAAACAAATCTATAACTGAGTGCTCACTTTGTAACAGACCTGGGATAAATAGACACAGCTCCTGGCCCCCAGGAGTTCACGCTGCAGGAGAGAAATGAACACATGGCACATATGCGGAGGTGCCGTAAGGGACACGTACATAGCATTATTCATCTACTAACTCAACAGAATGGAGGCCTATACCCTGTGAGCACCAGAAATACAATGGTGACCAAAAAAAGGATCTCTCTCCATGGGTACATGAATTAAGGCACAAGATAGACATTAAAACAAAATCACATCAGTGAATCAATAGTGTTAAACTGAGGTACATTATGTAAAGGAACATGAATCTATGAGACTGAAATGAAGAGATCTGGCTGGATAGTCACAGAAGGTAAGAATGAACATGAGGAGTCATGGGAAGAGGATGTCAAGGGCAAAGCTCTGGCTTGTAGAAATGTACAGCTTATGGAGCCATTGCTTCTTGAAAAAATACCAGCCCTGGAGGTCTAAGTGGATAGGCTGAGTAGGAAAGTGATCTGTGATTATGGAACTCAGAAAGCACAACCAGCTGCATTGGCATATTGAAGATAATTCAAGTCATAGGTTTACATGAGATTACCCAGAGAGAAAACATAAAGCGAAAAGAAATGACCTAGAACAGGTCTTAAGAAGCTTCCTTAATTAATGGGCACACAAAAGGAATGCAGCTAAGAGGATGTGTCAGGGAGAAACATCATGCAAATCCAGTGGTCTTAACAAGTGTTCATACCTCCTGTTCATACTTACAGTGTATTCCATAGTACCGTGGGGCTTCTGAACCACCATCTTCTTCTCTTTTTTATCATGTGTTTTGTTTTGATTGTCATCTGAAGAATAAAATGTATGTAAATGAATAATTTCATTTTCAGGAATGGAGGATAAGACACTCGGGAGTATATCAAAACTACTTTCAAACGGACTAAAAAAATAAAGCAGACCCTACTAGGAAAATGGACTATGGGCACAAATAGACCATACTCTTAAAAAAAAATACTATTCATCAGTGAACACCTGAACAAATGATTTCTGTTAACTATAAATAGTGCAAATAACAAATATTTTATAGTTATTAAAGGAATAGTATAAATATTACACAATGAAGTTAAAACTAGTATAGTTATGATATAAATGACGCATAATGGAAATCAATCCTACCCTTTTAGTTTTTTTTTCTATTTTTTCAAGCAAAGCATAATTAAAATAACATAGTAAATTGACAATTTTATACATTACTCAATGCTCACCATTCAATGTTATTACACTATTATTGATTACATCCCCTATGTTATACTTTTTGTAAACTTTTTTTATTTAAAAATTTTTTTTAATGTTTATTTATTTTTGACAGAGAGACACAGAGCATGAGTGGGGGAGGAGGAGAGAGAGAGGGAGACACAGAATCTGAAGCAGGCTCCAGGCTCTGAACCATCAGCACAAAGCCTGACGCGGGGCTCGAACTCACAGACCATGAGATCATGACATGAGTGGAGGTTGGATGCTCAACCGACTGAGCCACCCAGGCGCCCCATCTGTTATACTTTTCGTCTCTGTCATTCATCTTATAACTGGAAGTTTGCACCTCTTAATCCCCTTTGCCTTTTTCATCCATCCCCTCATGGACTCCCCTCTGGCAACCACCAGTTTGTTGTCTGTATTTAAGAGTCCATTTTTTTGTTTATTCATGTGTTTTTTCAATTCCACATTTAAGTGAAATCATATGGTATTTGTCTTTGATTTATGATTTACTTCACTTAGCATAATACCTTCTAGGTCTATCCATGTTGTCACAAATGGCAAGATTTCATTACTTTTTATAGCCAAGCAATGTTCCACTATATATATATAT